TTTTTGTGGGCAGTGTAATATTAAGGGATGATCTGTATTGACTTCTTAGCTGGTTGGGTTTTATGGGTGATCTTATACTTTTTTGTCATTACTGAGACCACCTTTGCTTTTTTTCTCGAATAGTTGTGGGGTTTTTTGACTGATGCATCTCAAATGTCCATTTTCAGTCTTTGCTCAAACCTTTTAGTACAGTTCTTAGAGCTTCTGTTGGAGACCGACTGTGAAGCTGTGAAAGTCCAGGAACGGACAGTTTCTCTTGCTTTTTCCATTTTCTGTGTATTTCCCTGAAATTAATTCTTCTCTGTCTTCTGGGATTGCCACATTTCTATAGCCAAGAATTAATATAATTAACCCAAGCTTGCATTATTATTACAGATATTTAAAGATCCAGAATCATGCCCAAGATGGGCTGCAGGCTAAGAAAGCTCTTCTGACTCTTACACCATTTAGTCATTTATAAGTAATACAGTGAAATGCTACATGGTGTGAAACACAAGGGGATCATGGGAAAGCTGCACAAATCCTCTTTCCTTTCTTGATCCCAAGCTGGATAATTATTTCTGTATCACTTCTTTATTAAGCCGTAGGGTAGAATTCAGCTCTCCAAGATGGAGCTATTGGTAGCTGAGCTTATCATGTGTGAAATTCTTTTCATGTGTTTTTTCTCCTGAAGGAGTCACCACAAAGCAGAATGCAGTGCCCAGAGAGTGTGGGGTGAATCGCTGTCACCCACTTCCCTGCATCAGATCACAGGGACACTCCTGTTGCTCCTGGTGTAATGACAGCAAAGCCTCCCCTGAGCATCCCCATCCCCTCTTGGCAGTGGAACGGGTCCTGTGCTGGTGGCTTTGACAAACCCTCTTTTGCTTTGCTGCATGCAGGCAGTTTTGTACCGGCTCAGAGAAAAGCTTCTTAGCAGCAATGCTGTGCATTTTAGCACATCTTTGGGGATGCAGGATGTATCCCCAACAAGGGTTGTATGGCAGTGGTCCACTGTTTCTGGAAACATGTGCATTTTCTTTTCCTGTGGGTCATCCAGTGCCTGCTTGTTTTGGGTGCAGCAGCAAACAGTGGCTGTGCATACCATCTCATAGTCCCTTTGGTGGCATTTCCAACCCTGTCATCACCTCTGCTTTCCTCCCAGCAGCAGGAAAAGCTAAAACCCTAATGCTTTTGTTCCCTCTTAAGCTTTATTTTGCAGTAGAAGGAGGAATGTTGACAAACATGGGCAGACACGCAGATCTCTGTGCCTGGGGCACACACAGTTGTAGTCAAGAATAACTCCAAGCCAAGGAGGTCCTGATTGGTCATACAGAGAGGTTTTTCCATGGCCCTGTTAACTAAAGGTGCTTGCAGGGCAGGTATTAGCAAGGGCAGGTCCTGTCCATGTGTTGGTGAGACCATCTGAAACATCCAGTAGTCTTCAGGAGCAAAAATACCATGCTGGCATCGGTAGCCTGCTAGTGGGAAGGATTTGTCATGGCTTTGGAGAAGTCCAAGGAGGTAGCGTAGGGCTAGGTACTCTTCCCAGGCTGGAGAGAGGGCATGTGCAGGCAGGGCACCCAGCCCAGCCCTGAGCACTACTCCTGGGCTGGTGCCTGGGGCTGGCTGTCACCATCAGCCACTGCCTTCCTGGGAGCTTGCTGGGTTGGGCAAGGGCTTGTGGTAGCCGTGCCTTCTTCCTGCCTTAACCAGCGAGCAGCACCCAGGACAGCCAGGCATTGAGCAGGGCTGGTCGTGGCACGTGCTGTCACTGCTAACATGAACTGCTGCCCCATGAGATGGTGCACATTCTGCCCTGCACAGCTTTGGGTTCATCCCTTACAGTCTCTGTGGCTTAGATCTCACTTAGAGGAACTGCGCAGAGCTAACGCTCCCTTAGACCAAATTAGAAAGCCCCTCAAGATCAGCAACACATCTCCTAGCCTGTGGGACTCAGCTTGCCTTCCCTGCACAGCCCCGGGATGCAAGAGGCGACTCGGCTGAATTGCTGTCTTATTGAATCCTCTTCCTTGCTAATTTATTATTAAGTGACGGTTAGTTTCATTAGAGCCCCAGTGGGCATGAGTTCATTAGCGTTTTATTGGCTAGAGCTGTGCTTTCGTGCATGGGAAGTGTATCCCGGAGAGCCTCTGGGCTCGTTGGAGTGACTGCACTAATGAGCTCTGGATGGGGCGGGATGGGCAATAGCTCTCTAAGCGCATGGCTCAGGCTTGCAGAGAAGCTTGGCTCTAACTTCGGTGTCAGGATAAAGACCTGGATTTGTGGAAGGGCTTAACAAATCTGGCTGGTCGGCGCTTTTGAGAATTTGACTTTTTTGCTTCTGTTGGTCCTTGCTGGAGTTTTGCCATGAGCCATTGGCACAAGGGGACTTTGGCTTTAGTGTGGCAGAGGCACACACACAGCAGGTCTCCCCACAGCATTCCCCTCTGCCAGGCTTGGGGCGAGCCTGGGCAGAATCCCTTGCCTGCAGCCAGGGATTCCAGAAGCCTCTCCAAGGAGTTCTACATTTATTCTGTCCCTGAAACATGCCAGGGCTGAGTAACATCTTTGCTGAAACCTCCTGGCCTGTCTGCATTGTTGTCCTGGAGCTGTTACTCACCCAAAAAACCAGACTAAAATTAGTCTGTTTAACCCTGGGATATTTTTCAGGGTTGATGTCTCTTCCAAGCCCACATTAATTAGCATTTGGGGTAACCCAGAATAGAAACCCCACAGCACCAGCAGCTCAGAAATGCAACTTGATGTTTATAATCAATGATCGTTAGGACCAATAAATCAGGCTGCAGTGCCCCAAGGTGCCATGCAGTGAGCCTGAATGCTGCAAAGAGCATCCAGCTCAGCCCTCGGCTCCTGGAAAAATCACACACGGAGCTTCAGAAGGGGCTGGATTAATTACTCCAAGGTAGTCGGGCCAGAGCTCACGTTCTCAGGGCTAAATCAAGACATTTCTCTAGTGTTAGGTACCAGGCACCTGATCTTGGCACTGGTCTGCTGTCTTAGCAAGGCACAGAGAAGGGGCTTTTGAATGCAGCTTCACCTCTGCTGGTAATGATGGGAAAGGAAATATGAGAGATGGGACCTGGAAACCCACACCAATGGGTTCTTTGTTGAGGGACTCTGGTGAGACCCTTCTCCATGAGGAATAAGCTGTGCAAGCAGCATATGGGTGTGTGCTGGGGGTTTTAAGGCTGGCCGTAGCCATTCCCCTGTACTCAGCGCTGGTGAGCCCACACCTGGAGTGCTGTGTCCAGTTCTGGGCCCCTCAGTTCACGAAAGATATTGAGGTGCTGGAGCAGGTGCAGAGAAGAGCAACAAGGCTGGTGAAGGGAGTCGAGCACAAGTCCTATGAGGAGAGGCTGAGGGAGCTGGGGCTGTTTAGCCTGGAGAAGAGGAGGCTCAGGGGAGACCTCATCACTCTCTACAACTCCCTCACAGGAGGTTGTAGCCAGGTGGGTGTTGGTCTCTTCTGCCAGGCAACCAGCAGTAGGACAAGAGGGCACGACCTTAAGCTCTGCCAGTGGAAGTTTAGGTTGGATATTAGGAAGAAATTTTTTATGGAGAGAGTAATCAGACATTGGAATGGGCTGCCCAGGGAGGTGGTGGATTAACCATCCCTGGAGATTTTTAAGATGAGACTTGATGTGGCATCAGTGCCATGGTCTAGTAACCACGGTGGTGTTGGATCAAGGGTTGGACTTGATGGTCTCGGAGGTCTTTTCCAACCTGGTTGATTCTATGGTGGGATCCTGAGCTCTGCTTTCTCCAGCCCATCACCACGGCTTCAGCCCTGGAGTTTGTGGGCTCATCTGGTTGGGCATGGGGAAGGGCAGAGCTGCATTCCCTGCACTATTTTCCAAGCCATCTGAATCTCCCATCCACATCAACGATTTTAAAATGGCTTTGAGGAATTGTGCTTTCAGGTCTTTTATCGTTTGATCACAGGTCAGGGCCAGCAGCTTTTCCTGCCTGCTGGCTCTGGCTGCCAGAGTTAATACATCATGCGGTGCTGGAAATGTCACGGCGAGGCTCGGCGCGGGCTGGAGGCAGGGCACTGCGTCGGGTGTCTGCCCTGTGCTCCCTCTGCAGAGACATTGCTGAAATAAGGAGAGGATGAATTAAATCCCTCTTCCTCAGGCAAGCTAGGTGCAGGATGCAGGGCTTTTCTGGGCACACAGGATCTGTCCCCACGGCTGTGCACAGCACTCTGCACGTAGGACCAGCACATCGGGTACCTGTGGGTGCACCTGTGGCAGACAGGTTATGAGACTCCTCAAAAGTCCCACAGCAGGAGGTTGCTCAGCCTAAATGGCTTATTTAGCCTATTCCCCTGCCAGCCCTCTAAATGTAAGTAAGACTCTAAATGCCAAAGTGGATGGATTTTTGGGAAATCTCATTCCCTCCCCAGGCCAGACCAGAGCTTTGTGTTTAGCCACTGATCTTTGGAAGTTCCTATTGGGATTTTTTCCTGTCCAGTGACTTCTAATTGAAGTGGGTAATTGCATTATCCCATATCCCCTGGAGAGGTTCACAGAGTCCTCAGCAATCATCATCAGTTTTATACTGAGCCCAAAAATACCCCACTCTAAATGCCATTTCCCTTACCAGAGCTCAGCAATGGCCACAAGCCAGTGGGGCAAACGTGGCCAGGCTGTGGATCCCTGGGAGCTGGCAGGGCTAGGGAGGTGGCAGTCCTTCTCTGGGGAGGCTCAGCCCTTTGGAGGGTCAGAGTGAGTGCCTTTGAAACAAGCTACCATTCCCAGCAGCATCCTGGGGCTGGATTGCTTCGATGTGTCCTCCTGCGGGGCATGGGAACACTGCAGGGCAAAAAGATCCCTTGTCCTGTCCTAGCATGGATGTGCATGTTGATGCAGGCATGTGAGATCAGGAAAACCTGTTCCTGTCCCTCTTGCCCCTTCCTCTCGCAACCTCTCCAGCCCTCCCTGAGACTGTTCTGGCACAGAAAGGCTAATTCAAGTGTTTTCTTCCATCTTCCGCAGTATGAGTTTAAAGCCAAGAATATCAAGAAGAAGAAAGTGAATCTCATTGTGTCAGTGGATGGCGTGAAGGTCATTCTGAAGAAGAAGAAGAAGGTAGGCAGCACTGGTCCCTGGGGCAGCAGTGCCTTGACAGCAGGAGCTCTCCCTTCCTAGAGCAGGGACCTGCAGCATCCTTGAACTTCTGGGAAAATCTGGTGGGCTGGGAGAGAGTGAGATGGGCTGGGATCAGCCATGGGTGGACCATGTTCCCACAGCATGGCTGAGGTCGTACTGATGTGGGTGTAGAAGGGGCTTGGGGGGCCCCATGGCAGTGATGTGGGACATGGCTGATCCCCAGCAGGACCCAACCCTTGGTTCCATGGGAGCAGCAACAGACAAGAGCTTCCTGAGTCTGTCCCTGGACTGTCTCTGCCCTGTCCTTGTTCTGAAGGACAGCATCTGACGTACTCATTTTCAGCTTCTTTCATTGCAGAAAAAAGAATGGGCCTGGGACGAGAACAAAATGCTCGTCATGCACGACCCCATCTACAGGTAAACCTGATGGGTGAGGGGACAGAGGCTCTCTGCTGCGCCACTTACTCACACCACACTGGCACTGTGCTGGGGACTGACCTGGAGAGCCGCCACTGTCCCTGCAGAGGGCAGCTCCCCTGGCTCACGGTGCTCTCTGGAGTCCCCAGCTCTCTTCCTCCATCTTGTTGCCAAAAGCAAGAGCATGGGGTGTCTGTCCCAGCGAGGCCGAACGGGGTCGAGACAGGGCCCCAGCCATGCTGGGGAGGGGGCAGCAGGCACCCAGGCAAGAAGGCTGACCTCTCTGAGCAGGCAAGGAGTGAGGTTTGCTCTCCTCCGTCCCTGGAGGGCTCCTGGGCCGCTGACTCTGTCCCTGAGGGCTGAGCAGAGAAGTCCCATGCTGCCTTTGCAAAACACTTGCTGCTGCTGAATCAGCAGGCTAATTTTCCCAGCCGAGGCAAAACCACTGCCAAAAAAACATTCTGATGGGCTTTAGCAGGGATGTGCTGCAGAGGCTGGGGATCTGCCAGCACCCCGTGCCCTGGGAAGTGCTGGCTATGGCCTTGGCAGTCTCCTGGGCATGTAGGTAATGTGTATGATGATCTCTTCCCTTCTTTTCTGTCCTTGCAGAATATTCTATGTGTCTCATGACTCCCAGGACCTAAAGATCTTCAGCTACATTGCCAGGGATGGGTCTAGCAACATCTTCAGGTGCAACGTCTTCAAATCCAAGAAGAAGGTAAAGGTGCTGGGGCGCTCGTCTTGTCATGGTGTGGCCTCAGTGGAGCAGCTGGGGCAGGATCCGGTGGCACTGCATTGCAGGTGGCAGCCCACAGCACACCGGGGATCTGAGCTCTGGTGCCCCAGGCCCTGTGGCAGCACACAGAGACCCCTGAGAGCTGCACCAGGCTGGGGGGTCACCAGGCAGGGGTGGCCCATCTGAAGTTACATCCCTCCTCTCCTCTCCTCGCCTGCTGCAGAGCCAAGCCATGCGCATCGTGCGGACGGTGGGGCAGGCGTTCGAGGTCTGCCACAAGCTGAGCCTGCAGCACACCCAGCAAAACGCAGACGGGCAGGAGGATGGAGACAGTGAGAGGAACGGAGATGACCTGGATGTCCCAGGTATTTTGCAAAGGCAGAGGTGGGGGTGGCATGGGGTTCCTGGAGCCCGGCAGACACAGTCTACAGAAGCACTGTCTTCCCATACTGCTCCTTGCTGGCTGACACCTGTGGGGAATAGATTTGCACAGCAATCTGGCCTGTGGCGCCTCTGGCTCAAGCTGGGATCTTGCCCAGCAAGGAGCCTTCACTAGGTGTTAGCCCTCATCCTCGCAGACATCCCCCTTGCTGGGAGCCAATTAGCAGCGCCCGGGACTCTGCTGGGCGCCAGAGTACTCTCCGTGCTTGGCTGCACACACTGCAAACATTCCCTCGCTGCTTCTGCAGCAGAGGCCTCAAGCACAGACCTGTGTCCCGAGGCGTGCCTGGGGCTGGGGCTCTCTGCAGTTCCCTGAGTGGACTAATCCATGTTTGTGGTTTTGCATCAAGCTGCCGGGTCTGCACGCAGCCTGTGGACCCTGTTCCTTCTCAGCCCCATGGGTAGAGGGTGCACGAACAAGTGCTCCTGGCTGTTGGTCCAGCCCCATCACCCAAGCTCTGCAGGGCCCCAGGGAGCTGCCCTGCTCCTTGAAGCCTGTGCCTGCACTGGAGGGGAGGCAGATGTTTTGCAAGAGGTTGGTCAAATACCCATCTAGTGCCAGCTGAGACACTGATGGGTCCTGCTGCCTGCTTGTGTGTGGATTGCCTGCCCTGTCATCCCATGTTGGGGGCCAGTTCCCCCCATCACAATAGGAGCAGCCTGGACTGGGCTGTGGTTTCCTGCTTGCCTCTGTGACCAGTGCTGTCGTGATGACCTAATCATTGGGCTGTCCTGGACGGGTCATTGTTTGGTTTTCCTCCACACAATGTCCGGGCCATGATATGCAGTTCCCTGGAGAATTCTGAGCATCTGTTTTTTGTTTTTCTTTCCCGTAATCTCTTGTTTACCTTTCTTTATCTGTGTTTTCTCCTCTTGGTGGCCCATTTGTCCAACCTCAGGGGTTTTGGCTGCTGTTCCCCAGGTTTGGTGTGCTGGGGCTGGGTGTGTTTTTGGCTGCAACCCCCATCCCGAGCAGCAGCAGGAAGAGCAGCTGTGTCTCTGTGTACCTGCTTCCCCCCAGAGCTGGAGGGCAGGTGGCAGGGGGGTGGTGGGGACCAACTGTGGGCATTGCTCACTACCCTCGGGGTGCACCACAGCAAGCTCCTGCTCCAAGCAGACTGTGCTGTACTCTGACACTGCTCCCACAGCCTGCCGCCTCTCCGGTGTGGAGAGGGCAGCCGCCTCAGCGGAAGAGACGGACATCGACGCCGTAGAGCTGCCACTGCCCGGAGCCGACATCCTGGACTTCAGCCGTGGCGTGACTGACCTCGATGCTGTGGGCAAGGAGGTGGGTGGCCTATGCGAAGGTGCCTGGGTCCCTGCCCTCCACTCTTGGGGCACTGCACAGCCCCAGCCCCGTGGCTCTGATGTGCATCCCGAGGGCCCAGGGATCGGGAAGGATTCAGCTGCATTCCCCAGCTCCCAGATCAAAGCCATCTGCCGCTGCAGGGCTGCCCTTTGGCTTGGGGCCCAGGGCGCTCCTGGAGAGCGCTGTGATGAGGCTCAACTCTGTGCAGCCACACGGAAAGTGTTTGGGGCAGAGCTGATAGGGATTTTTTTCCACAAAAAAAACAAAAATAAAGGACTTTTTTGATACAGTGGAAATTCCCATTGGAAGCGCCAGCCTTTTCAGGAATTTTCTACAGAAGTATTTGGGTTGTTGTCGAAACTGAAAAAATTCCTTAAAGTTTGTCAGCACCCCCAGCAAAGTGTGCATTTGCTTTGAATGCATTTGCTTCTTTCCTGGGTATTCTGGGAGGCTGCTCTCTTCTGCAGCCTGTATGTGCCAGGTGGCTCTCTGAGGTGAGTGGCATGGGATCACACTTTCCACATTGGTATTTTGCAGGGCTGCCTCCACCCTGAAGATATCCTGACAGCATCACCCAAGATGCTGCTGCCCTCATCTGCCCAGCTGCCTGACCTGGGAACACCCCTCTCTGCCCACCATCAGATGCAGCTTCTCCAGCAGCTCCTGCAGCAGCAGCAGCAGCAGACACAAGTGGCCGTGGCACAGGTTCTCCCCTCCACTCTTTTCTGGGGCAGCAACAGGGCTGGGGCACACTGAGCCCCTTGGTGCCACCAAGGGGAGTGGCACCTGGAGGCAGTGTTGAAGGCAGGCTGCTCTGTGGGGAGCTGCAGGCAGAAATGTTCAGGTGGCAACTGTGGGAGAAACTGTGACTCAGAGGATGGGACGTGCAGCAAGGGGAGAGGAGTGGCAATTTGCCCTGGCCCCATCAGGAAAGATGAGGTGCTTAGGTCTGCATGCCACCAGGTTTCTTGGGCTTTCAGCCCCTGTCTGCTTGCCAGTACCTGGCCTCAGTGTTCACCCTGAATAACTGCTGCCTGAGCTGTGTGTCTGGCAGCTTCCTCTCCATGCAGCTATTCCTCATTTAAGCAGCTCTGGCTGCTTTATCCAACTCATTACCTGAGCTTTACTTGTTTGCTGACCCCTCGCAGAGCTCTCCACAATTGCTCAACTTTCTTCCTGACCTGGCCTGAGCAATGGGCTCCAGCAGCCTTTTTGTGCTGTCCCATGGCTTTCCTCCTCTCGCATCAGTAAATCAGTGTTTGTGCTTCTGCCTGAGCTGCTGCCCGAGCTGCTGCCCCAGAGCCCACGTGCCTTCTGGGGTCACAGGCTGCAAAGTTGCTTTCCGCTCTGGAAGAGAAACCTTCATCCTCGGGGGATCCTTTATACCTGCCCAAGTACAGTGTTGCCTGTAATCCAAAAGGGCTCTGTGGTGCCTGCTCAGAGTGTAAAATATTACACCCCTTGCCCCTGTGACTGATAGTTTGATCAGTGCTGCCCCCATTTGCCTCGAACTTTGCCATCAGAGAGGCCAGGGGACCATGTGCTGAGTGTGCTCTGGTGTTACACTGCCACCTGCCCAGTGTGACACTGCCACCTGCCTGCACGCTCCCCATCACATTTGCTGTACCTGCAAGGAGTGGCTGCCTCATCACACCATTAGGTGGGATGCTGGTGAGCCCTGGCAGATGAGTGGTGGTGGCCAGAGTCGAAGCCCTCAACCCTTGAGCAGCATCTCCCCACGCTCACCCTGTCTCGGCTGTCCCACAGGTGCACCTGCTGAAGGACCAGCTGGCAGCAGAGGCGGCGGCACGGCTGGAGGCCCAGGCTCGAGTGCACCAGCTCCTGCTCCAGAACAAGGACTTGCTGCAGCACATCTCGCTCCTGGTCAAACAGGTGCAGGAGCTGGAGCTGAAGCTGGCAGGGAACACGACGAGTAAGCGCTCCCGTCACTTCTTCTCCCCTCACTTCTAGCAAGGGCTGTGAGGCACATGCACATGGGTGTTTCTGTTGGGGTTTTTTGTGTGTTTCCATTCATTTTGTTTAGAGGGATATTTGTGCCCTTCTGGCCAGGCTTGTGCATGTGCAGCAGGGTGCTTGCATGCCATGTGGGACGGGGCTTGAGGAGGGCTGTATGGAAAGGTACTTACCTACCTCCATCAGCTGTATGTCTGCTTTCCCCAGTGGCTGCATGCTCTAGGCCAGCTCCATACCTGCCCAAGAGCCCCTTCTTGACCTTCCTCTCCAGCAGATGTGGCCATCAGCTCCCTGCAGGAGCTGGGGTATGAGACAGTTAACGTTTTGTCCTGCAGAACTGGCTCTTTGTTGGTCAGCAGCAGTAACACCAAATAAGCCCCTCTCAACAGTGGCAGTAGGGAGGTTGGTAGCCAAGTGGCCCCAGCCTGTCCTTCTCTGGGCAGTGTGCAGCCAGCCATGGTAGCCAGGGGATGCCCAGGCAAGCTAGGCCTCTCAGCCATGCCCTTCTCTTGCAGCAGGCTCCCAGGACAGTCTGCTGGAGATCACCTTCCGCTCCAACGTCCTCCCTGTCCTCTGCGACCCGATCACCCCGCAGCCCGAGGACACCCACCCGCCGCCGCTGGGCCCCAGCTCAGCTTTCCCCAGCACCCTGGGCAGTCCCATAGGTAGGAACGACTGTCTGGTGAAGCTGGAGTGCTACCGCTTTCTGCCGGACTCGGGGCCACCTGCCCCAGAGCCACCGCTGGGCAGCCTGGAGCTCATCAAGTTCCGCGAGTCGGGCATCGCCTCCGAGTACGAGTCCAACACGGACGAGAGCGAGGAGCGTGACTCCTGGTCCCAGGAGGAACCGCCGCGCCTGCTCCACGTCCAGCCCAGGCAGGACCTGGGCGACAGCCTGGAGGATGAGATCGCGGTGTAGGGGGGTCAGCAGGAGGTGGTGCGGAGCAGCCAGGACCTGCCAGAGCTGGGACAGACCCTGGCCATAGCCCAGTGGCCCTGGCAGGGATGGGACAGCCCGGAGGGAATGGGGTGGAGGGGGGAGTGTGAGGCTTCCAGCACCCAGTCAGGAGATGTGCAGGGGTTAGGTGGAGTCGTGCTGAGGGAGTGTGCTGGGCATGCTGTGCTCCAGCGTGCATGGGCTTGTGTGTTGAGCTGGAGCATCCCTGCTTCTCAACTGACAGTGAGCTGACAGCTCCTTGTGCTAACCCCTGGCTCCCACCCCCCACAAACTGTGTGTCCAGGTGAGGCAGAAGCAAGGGGACTCCCTGCTGGATTAGCCCCTGCTGCTGCTGGGGAAGGAGTAAAGGAGAGGAAGGATTTTTCTGAGGGAACAAGAGAGGAGATGCAGGGCAGGGAGCAGGGACAAGAGGGACCAAGGGGGGAGTGCTGGGGTGATGAGCAAGGACAGAGTGGCTGGCAGGTGGTCTGGCTCTCTGTGTGGTGGACAGGGTGGAAGACAAGGATAGGGTCATGCTACGTTAGGGTTGGTGACAGTGCAGTGTTGTAGTGGGTCTGTGAGTGAGAGGTGAGGCATAGAGGGACAGTGGGGACAAGCCTGGAAAGGAGTTGATGGGGTAAGATGAGGTTGCACAGGCTGGCCAGGTGCAGACAGTTCCTGCAGAGTGATGTGGCACTTCCAGGACAGAGTTTGTCCCTGCCTGAGGCAGGTGGAGAGCATGCAGGCACAGCCACTCCTTTCCCAGGCTGTGGAGCAGAGAAGGTGGCACAGCTCAGTGTGGAACTGGGAGCCAGGGAATGCAGCACTGGGCTGTGGGGTGTCCTCCCCGACATCATCTAGTCCTTTGGCTCTTTGGCACACCTACCAGGTTTCAAAGCCTTTTTGGTGCTCTCAAGCCACTTTTTCAAGCACTTCCTTGCACCCCCATCACCACAAACTCCTTGCTTTGCTTTATACACAAACCCTCCCATTTCCGAGCAGTTGTCTTCCTCCAGACCAGGGCTGGGGCCTGCAGTGCTGGCATTGGTATCTGCAGGGATGAGCACACCTCCACCCCTCAGTGGGGACTGAACTGCTGGTGTCTGCAGAGGGGCTCTGTCACATCTATGGTTTACACCCTCCAAAAAGTGAATCCAAGATCTCAGGATCCCCCACCAGCCCCCAGGATGCTCTTGGCTGAGAGCCACCTGTGGTGGCCTCCGAGGGACCCAGAGCTTGTTTCTTTTCTCCAAGCACTTTTATCACCTGCCTGGTGCTACAGCCTCTAAGAGGCCATGACTGAAGGGGTATGAACCAGAGTCCTGATGTCCGCCCTGCTCCCTGTGGAAGCACTGAATGAGGTGGGGATTGGCGCAGTTGTCTTTCTCCCCATCCTCCCTCCTATCCTGCTTCTGCTTTGCTTTGTTGCTTCCCTGCTGCTCTCGCCTTTGCCAGCTCTGTCTCTGCTCGATCTGCCTGCAACTAACCCCTGGCTGACACCAGCTCTTGCTCTCCTCCAGGGCTTAGCCTGGCTGCTGAGGAAGGTCCATCACTTCTTTCTGCCCGGGTCCCCTTGGGACTGAGGGCTGCTGAGGAGTGAGGTGTGGATGAGACCCCCGGGGTCAGTATGAGCTGTGCTATGTACCCTCTGCCACAAGACAGGGCTGGATGATGTGAGGAGCTAGAGAGTCCCAGTGGAAAGGAAGGAAGGACATGTTTTAGTGTCCCCAGCAGTGCCCTAGTGTCCAGGGGAACCCCTGCACCAGCCACAGAGGGGGCAGAGTGGGAGAGGGTGTTGTTTGGTACATGGGTGCTCCTGTCCTCTGGCCACCACTACCTCCATGTGCCCTGTCCCACACCACTGTGGGCACAGCAGTGTGCTAGCCCCTCTGCTGGGAACCCCGGCATCCCACTGCCAGCTTGCAGCTGTTGGAGGTGAAAGCATGGGGTGGGAGGCTGGTCCAGCTAGGAGGAAGAAGTGGGTATGGCAGCACACACAGGACATGGCGCAGACAGGGTAGGGATGCATGGGTGAGCTTGGAGAAGGATTTCCATATGGGCAAACAGATTTTTCAGCAGAGGGGACAGCAGGAGCTCAGCTGTACACACAAGGCAGATGAAGGGAGAGCCTGGGAGGAGCAGCAGTAGGCCAGAGGTCTCTTCCAGGCTGGGCTGCCTCAGAAAGCAGGCAGGCAGGAGCCATCTCCTGAGACACCGCTCCGGTCTGTTCCTGCTCCACACACACAGGCAGTGTCCCTTGAGGAGCTTCAGGACCAGCTGTGGGTTTGGGCTCCTGCTTGGCACTCTGCCCACAGGGGACAGTGGCAGGTGCCCTGCAGGCTGATGGGGTGCTGCTGGAGCCGGGTGGGACCTGCCAGCACCATGCCACACCACAGGTGTACATGTATAAATGACCCTCCTCCTAAGTCAGCACTGCCTCCAAGACGCCTCTCTAGCCTCTCACTTTTATTATGGACCTTGACAGAGGATTTATAGCTATATTTTTTGTCCTTTCTTTTCCTACAACTGTCGTATTACTAACTGTTGACTCAATCTATCTGGGAAACCAATCTGTCAATGTAAGTGCACTTAACCCTTGGGTGTTGTCATTAGTCAACTGGCTTTTGCTAAATAAATCTTTCTATTTCTCAAGGCTTTCTGTTGTCTCTTTCTTCTCACTGACTCTCTCTCTTTCTGTACTTCCTTCCCCCTCCATGCTGGTTGCCAGCACCAGCAGCGGCATCCTCTGGCCTTGCACAGACCCCCTCCAACCTAAGCCCACTCCCCTAGTCCCCTGCAGGACTGTGGGACCCTTGTTGTGGTGCCAGCCACAGGCTACCCATGAGAGTAAGGTGCTCTGAATATCTCTGGGAGTAGAAGGGTTTCAGTCTTCCCCTTCAGCCACTGCACAGCACAAGCTTGTCTTAGGGCTGACCCAACAAATTGAGGGTGCCAGTGGGTTCCTGGCATCTGCAGAGCTCCCCACAGAAGTGCAGAAATGCTAAGCAGCACTTTTAGGAGCTCAGGAGATTTTTGTCTACTGGGGAAGGAAAAGTAGGGAAGAGCCTCTCAAATGATGGCAGTGTTGCATAGGAAGAGCAGCACAGAGGCAGAGCTGGCCGACCCTAAAAGAATTTATTGTGCCGCTGGCAGGAGCGATGGAGCAGTGCCCTCCTGCGGTGGCTGCTTGGCTGGTGGGGCTACATGGACAGCCTGGGGGCTGCAGCCTCCTGAGCCTTGAGCTGCTCCCCCAGGGCGTTGAGCCTGCTGTAGAACCCATCGCAGCTGTAGCCCTCCTGGGAGCTGTGCTGGATCTGGGTCTTGACCAACCACAATGTGGGGAAGATGCGGCAACACAACATGCACCGGTAGCCACACTGGAGCACTGGCTGCCACTGGGAAGTGGTGAGGATGTCCTGGATCATGATGCTGGCTCTGCTGCTGGCCAGCCTGTCCCTCTCAGGGGTCTAGGGGTCATCTGAGGAGTCAGAGGAGGAGCAGATGCTCTACAAGAAGTTGTCAGGCTGCTCACACTTCTGGGGGCTGGTGTCCAGGCTGGAGGAGAGGCTACTCAGACGCTGCTGTGTTGCTCCTTTGGTGCAATGAATTAGCTGTAAGATGAACTCCAGGACTGGTAGATGCTGCAGGCGCAGGGAGGGAGATTGCTGTTCAGCAGGACTGTGAAGCCACAGGCTGCAGAGGAAAGGGCCTGCAGTGAGTCAGGGGTCCCTGTAAGAGTCTGGACCCCATGGAGTTGGAAGCAGTGCTGGGAACCGTTCCTCTGTGTCTATCTCCATGGGATGTGAAGGTGGTTGGCTCTGTCCCAGTACATGCCCCTGGGATGCAGAGGTGGAGTTGGGCACAGGATGCTGGTGGGCACTGAGGCCCTGGCAGCACCAGGCTCACCCAGCAGCTGGCTGGAGCCATCACACAGAGAGCCACACTGGCATGGGGGCAGCCAATGGGCACCATTGCTTGAAGGACTCTTGCTGGGAAGAAATGGGGGAGAAACCAATGTAGCTCAGAGGTGGAGTGTGACTGCAGAAACTCACTGGGTCCCAAAAAAGTACCCACTGCCACCCAGCACACAGACCCAGGCTGGGCTGGGCTGGGCTGGGCTGAGGGAGCCTTGCTGGGCTGGTCAGTGCAGAGCCCAGACTGTGGGTGCCCCCAGTGCAGCTCCTGCTGCTTTGCCAGGGCCCAAGTGACATGACCACACATGGGTCCCATCTCCACAAGATAGTGTGGCAGGCCCAGGCAGAGGGTTGGCAGCACACCCCACCTGGCAGTGTGGAAGGGACAGGCCTTTCCCTTGCCATTCCCTTGGTAAATGCTCTCTCTCTCTTTCTTTCCACAACCTGCTTTCCAAGTCGCTCAGTGTCAGGTAAGAGAAGCTCTCGGTGTGTTGGCAGTGCCAGCCTGGAGCCCTGGGCTCGCTGCTACCCTGTCTTGCCCCATGCTGTCCCCCATGCATGCAGTGCCCTGTGCAGCCCTGGCATGGCCTGGCTGCCCACAGCCTCTGCAGGGCTGAAGGAGCAGCCTCCCTGACCCCAAGATTGCATTCCCATGCTGCTGGCAGGCAGCTTCAGGCCAGCCGCCCTTGCTGGGATCACCCTTGCAGCCCAGCTCACATCCCGTCTCTGTTCCCTTCCCTCTCCAGTGGACCAGAGCATGTTTGAGAACACCAGCGCCAGCACAGCACCCACCCCACGGCCGCAGCACGTCCCTTCCTCGGCGGGCACTCTGCCACAGCCCTCCCGCCCCGCCAGCAGCCAACACCTCCGCAACCTGGGCAAGGCCATGGGGGCCAAGGTGAACGATCTCCTGCGCCGAAAGGAGCCCGCTGGCCTCCCCAGTGTGGGAGCGATGGAGGCAAACGCCGGCGTGGGCGCCATGCTGGGCACAGCACAGCTGGCTGTCGAGGACGGGTGAGTGTCCTGCATTGTGCACCCTGTGGCAGGGCCACTGGGACAGGCTGGAGAGGCCTCAGCATGGGGCTGTATGTGACTTTCTCTCTGTGCTTGCAGGGCTGTGGGGCTGGACGCCTTTCCTCGGCTGGACCCCCCGCCCCCCATCACCAAGAAGCGGACGCCACGTGCCCTGAAGACCCCGCAGGACATGCTCATTGCTCCACAGCCAGAGGAGACCAGTTCAAGGATTGGCACAGAGGAGCCTCCAGAACCACCCACAGCCCACCCTGACATTGCAGAGGAGCAGCTGGATACGGGGGACCCATCCCCTCCAGAATGCCCTGGGCTGCCCAGCACGACAGGCACCCCAGAGCCCAGCGGGAACCAGCCCACTGGTGCCCTACCCGTGCCTGACCTCATCCATAAGGGCAGCCAGGAGAGCCAGTGGCGAGTGGGTGAGAGGGCCACCGAGATGTCACCCCCCACAGAGAAGCCCTCACAGAGACCAAGGCTGGAGCATGAGCCACCAGGGAGCACAGGGCGGCCAGAGCCACGTACCCCTGGCTGGGAGGTGGAGGGGACCCACCCTGACTTACTGTCCTTTGAGTAGCAGTGGGGGAGCTGTGACAGGGGCACTGTGGGGGCTGGCTCTCCCAAACACGTCTCTTGCTGCCACTTGCCATTTTTGGGGTCTTTATTTTGGGAGAGGGAGCCCCAGTGTGGAAGGAGCCATTGCTGCCCCAGTGTGGGGCGTGGGAAGCCACGACAACCTGCTTCTCCCCAAATTCCCAGGAGGGGCACAGCCTGTCCTGGGCCTGTTCACCCTGGTCAGTGCCAAGGTCCTGTCCTGCCACGGTGTCACTTACCACCCTATCTGCAGCCAGGAGCCATGCTGAGCTAGGGACCAAAGGGGTGTGTGCGGGCAGAAGTGCCAGTCTGCCCCAACCCCATCAGCTCTGCTGGAGTGAGTGTCCCACACTGTTGTTCCCCATTTCTGCACTGGCTGCCTTGGTCTAGAGGATTTCCCAGCTTATGCCATGTGCTTGCCAAGATACCCTATCCCAGGGTGTCAACAGGCTAACCCAGCTCTAGTGCTGGATGCCAGGGTGCTGGGAAGGCAGAAGTGCCGAGGACCTTCTCCAGGTGATGACCCCATGGCAGGACTCTGCCCAGTGCCATCTCTCTGCAGCAGAGCCCCAGATGCAGGAGACCTGCTCACAGCATAGGCTCCAGTGCGGAGCAGAGCTGGACACTTGGGACTGCACAGGTCAGCAGGCTCTGCTGCCAAGCTCCTGTGAGACCCCCTTCCCCACTTATTTCCTGGTCTCACCCCAGCCATCATGGACAGGACCGCCCTGTCCAGGCAGGCAGCCCACTTCGTGTAGGCCAGTGTCACTATGTCAGTGGTGTCTTTGTGGGACACAAGAAGCCACATGGTCCTCTGATACTGCTCTATGACTGTTACCCCACGAATTACAGGAGGGGTTAGCCAGCCTGTGGACCCCTGGGCCAGCGCAAGGAAGCAGTTATGAGATGGAACTTTTTGCTTAGAGCTTTTATGTACACCTTTACCACAAAAGTGGCTTTGAGAAGAAAAGCTCCAAAGCCCAGATTTGGGCTGGAGGAGGCAAGGAGCTCATGGGTGGGCACTTCTGCTTGCAGTTCCTTCTGGGCCATGCAGGGTGGCTGGACTGAAGAAATATCTTCCACCACCCAAAGCCAAGTTGTACCACTGAAGGAGGCTGTGAGCATTTGTGATCCCTTTGCCTTGGGAGCAGCCACCCATCTCCTTGCTGTTGTCGTGGTGGTGCCATGGTGATGCTGGGGTTCTGAAGCTCTCGGCCCTGGGAAAGCCCTGCTCAGGAGCAAAGGGGACACACAGATGCACAGAGCCCGTGGGGTGCTCAGGTGTGTGCAATGTGATCACACTGTGCATGGCCAGTGGCACCCCAAACAGGAATCTGTGTATGTGTATTTCTGTGCTGCCCAGACCTGTGCTGCACTGTAGGTGTTGATGGAAACCAGGCTTTGTAGCCCCTCTCTGAGGAACCAGCATCTTCCATCACTGCAATCCCAAAGGAACCTTCCCCTTAATGGAAGGGTCATCACACTCACAGCCAGTCCAGTACTTCTATTTATGTTGTCAGGATGTGTGTGTGGCTTGGGACAAAAGATACAGATTGCACAATAAATTTTTTTTTCTTTTTTACCCACTGACATGTGGCAGTCCCTTGATGGGCGGGGACCCCCTGCACCAGCCTGGCACCTGCACAGGGGATCACTATCCCGGCAGACCGGTCCGGTGGAGAGCCGGGGGGTGCTGGGGGAGTTTGGTGGTGCCCAGGCTGAGAAGGGAACGTGGCTGCCCTGCTGTGCTTGGCATTGAGGGGACGGGAGCCCTAGTTGGTGTCTGGGATGAGGAGATGTGACCCGGGGTGTACTGAGGATGCTGGAGCCCGCTTGTACCTGGTCGGAGGGGACCAGACGCCGGGAGTGCTGAGGGCTGCAGGGACGGCACCCCGGGGCTACTGAGGGTCTGGGACCCGCCAGTGCCAGGTGCTACTTAGTGTGCTGAAGACCGCCTGTGCCCCGGCTGAGGGGCCCAGACCGCGCCCAGTACCAGGGGTTGCTGAGGGGCCCAGCCCGTTCCGGGCGGACGGGCCGCGCCCCCCGCCCCGCCCCGCTGGGGGCGGTGCCGCCGGCGGTGCCGCCCCGTTTCCGGTGCCATGGCGGCTGGAGCGCGGCCGCGGCCGGGACCGGGGCCGGGGCGGCCCGCGGGGCAGCGGCGGGGCGGCGGCGGCGGGAGGGCGATGTGAGGCGGCGCGGAGCCATGTCGGGGTGCGCGTGGGGCGCGGCGCCGCCGCTGCTGGAGGCGCTGGGCCGGCTGTGGGAGGTGCAGGCGCCGCTGGGCAGCGGCTCCTCGGCCTCGGTGTACCGGGTGCGCTGCTGCGGGGACCCGCGGGCCCCCCCCGGCGCCGTCAAGGAGTTCGTGCCGCCCCCGGGGCCGCGGCCCGGCCCTGCTCGCCGCCCCGGCGCTCGCCCGCCCGCCGCCGACTGCGCCGAGTACGGGTTCCGCAAGGAGCGCGCCGCGCTCGAGCAGCTCCGCGGGCACCGCAACATCGGTAACAGCACCGGCACCGCGACCCGGGCACCCCAAACCCCCGCACACCGGCAACCCCCACGTCCCGGCACCCCAACCCCGGCACCGAGCAACCCCCACACCCCGGCATCCCCCGCACCTCGGCCCCCCGCCCCGCAGCCCGGGCACCCCCCGATCCTCCCTCGGATCCCCAAACGCCTCTTTTCGGGGACCCTCGCGGGCACCCTCTGTCCCTATAGCCCCCATCTCTCCCCCCCAGGGCAAACTGGTGTCCCCAAGCCTACCCCTCCAGCCAGGGAGGGGAACCCCCAGCTCCTTTGGGAATACGGGCATCCTCGCCCCCAAGCCCACCCCCGCTGGCAGGGCATTGTGCTTTTTGGGTTGGCACCCCTGGGTGGGCAGGTTTGAGGGCCCTCAGCATGGGTGCCCCAAAGCAGCCTCGCTGTGGCGGGTGCTCCTGGTACCCCACCCCTTACCTGGACACGGGGTTTGCAGGGGATGTCCCCAGGGTGGGCAGGAGAGACAGGCATCACCCTTTGTATGGGCAGAGAGGGTCACTGCAGGCAGGGCACCCCTGAGTCCTCCTTTGGGCAGGGTGCCAGAGCTGCCCTGGCAAGAGCCATGCTGCCTATGGGGCAGCAGTGGGACAGTGTGTGCCTGCTGGCCTGCCTGGTCTAGGCTGGAGCTCCTGGGCTGCCTACACAGGTGGGAATGAGCTTGGAAAGGGAGGAAGCCTATGTATTTTAGGTGGCTGCTGGAAGCGCCCTAGTTCACCCACTGATGCTGTTTTTTTGTTGGTATGAAATGTTTTTTAATGCCATAATGTGCCTGGGCAGCCAGACAGAGCTTGGGTCCCACTGTGCAAGATTTGTCACAGGAGAGAGATCAGCATGTCTCAAAAAGAGTGGCGCTACATCCAGTTTGCCCCCCTACTTATCCATGTCCCAGATTGTCCTGAGCAGGAGCACCCAGCCCTGTCTCTTTAGCAAAGCCTGGTGGGGTGTTGTAAGACCGACCTGTCCTCTGAAGCCCGTAGAGGTGACAGGGCTGGTTTTCCCTTGCTGCTTCCCTCCGAAGCCTGATTCTCCATCCCTCTGAACATCACCCGTTACAAAACAGCTGGGCTGCCCCTGCAGCTGTGGTGGTGTGCAGCGGTGGAGGGGGATGACCGATGCCTGTCGCTGTGTCTCCTGCAGTGACTCTGTATGGCGTGTTCACCAACCACTACTCTGCCAACGGCCCGTCTCGCTGCCTGCTGCTGGAGCTGCTGGACATCAGTGTGTCCGAGCTGCTGCTGCACTCCAGCAACCAGGGCTGCTCCATGTGGATGATCCAGCACTGCGCCCGAGACGTTCTGGAAGCCCTGGCTTTCCTGCACCACAAAGGCTACGTGCACGCAGACCTCAAGCCACGCAACATCCTGTGGAGTGCAGAGGAGGAGTGCTTTAAGCTCATTGACTTTGGACTTAGCTTCAAAGAGGGGAATCAGGTTTGGAATGTGCTACTCTTGAAGCAGATGGCTCTGTGTTGTGTGGCTCTGTGATGCTTTCAGGTCATGAGTGTAGGACTTGGCATGACCTGATCAGAGTAGCTGAGCTGGTGCTGAGGGTTTCCTGGAAAAGGCTAGAATGTTGTCTGGCCCCAGAAACAGAAGCTCATGTTCCCATCTCCTTGCATGTCTCTGGTTTCTGTTGATGGCTTAGCCTTTGTGCTACAAATTCCAGAGTTAATGATGCACTGAGAAAAGTGGTGTCTCAGCTTCCTGGGAAGTTTGCTAGTTTTTGCATGGTCAGACCAGTGGGAGCACCCAGAAGTGCAGAATTTGCTTTTATCATCCCTTATCATGGGTAGTAGGAGTCCAGGCTTCACCATTAGCTTCCCCAATCAATTGTGTTATCTCTGGCAGTGTCCTTGTGCTTGTCTTTACCCTAACTTCAGCAGCTTCCCTTTTTCAGGAAGTCTGGATGTTTCTTTCAAGCCTATGCTCTGGTTGTGGGTGGGCAGTGTCTGTTCTTTACTGACATGGACAATCTCTGCCTGTTCTACTCTGCTTCTCTCATTTGCTGAGCTTTCTGTCTCTTATTGCTGTCACTTTTTCGTTTTGGCGATACTGAGTTTTGTAAGTTTGTTCTTGTCCATTTTATTCTCTTCCGTGGCTTCTCATGGAAGCAAAGAGCCTTGGGAGGTTCTACTGTGGGCTTGATAGAGCTTCCTTTCACCCCTCCCTCTCTCAGTAAAGCTTTTCCATCAGGTAGCCTCATAGAACATTTGCCTGTGATCATTGGGTGATGGATGGTAAGTCCAGTAAGCAAGCTTTAATTTTTTGGTTCAAACTTTGTCCTGGCTTGTCCCCATTCCATGCACGCTTCTCTTTTAGAGGTTTTAAATTAATAGACTTTTTTATACTGGTTTACCTGGTATTAACAGTACAGCTCACTGATTGTGAATATCAGAGGGTTGTGTGGGTGACCTGTCTCTGAATTCTTTGGTACAGGAGCTGTTTTTAATGTTTGGACTTCTTAACTCCTCCATGTTGTCCTCAGTTCTCCCACGTTCTTGGCTGAGTTTGTGTTGGTAATCTGTTGCTGTCTATCAGCAAAATACATGCTCCTGGTGTCCTGTGTCTAATGCACATATTTTTATTTAATTCAGGTCTGTGTTTTGCTGCTTGCTCTGTGAGTTGCCTCGTAATAGGTGATCAGTTGT